CGGGCGCGGGAAAGGCTGGACTGGCCGCCTGGCACCAGCGGGTATGCGGGCCGCGTACGTCCCGGCACGCACACGGGCTGCACCTGCAGTGGCCGCTGTATGTCTGCAAGCTCTCGCCGTTTCCGGGGGCGGTGCCTTGCGTCTGCGCGGCCAGGTCGGTGCCCCCCCCGCACCCTCTTGGCCTCGGCTGAGACGTGACTGTTCCCCGCGTCACCCACGCCGCTGCCACAGGCTTGGCCTCTCGCACGTCTTCCTCCGCCTCGAGAGCAGTGTGCCCCGAGTCCTTGCGTGCGGTCGGCGCCGGCGGCAAGCCCAGTGTCACCAAGGAGGCAGCCCTGGCCCGCCCTCCTCTCCCCGCCTCCGCATGTCCAGCCTCTGCAGTCCGGCTCCCTGAGCCACCGGGGCTGCTGTCTGAGCGCCTGGTGTCGTGTCCTCGCCGTGGCCGCTGGCGTACGCGGGGAGACAGGCCCCCGCTCAGGAGCAGGTCAGCCCCTCCTCGCTCGCCTGCTCTCTGGCCGCGTGCGGCCGCTTGTCCGTCAGCCCCGAGCCGTAGGTGTTTGCTTTTGGCCTGTGGGAGTAACGCTGCCAGGATCAGCCTCGCCCAGGTGCGCTGGCTTCACTCCTGCGGGGCTTACACTAGGGATGGGGCCGGGGGGCATCGGCAGCTTTCTGAGGCGCTGTTAGACTTCCCCAAGGTGGCAGCACCGTTTTGTGTTCAGCCACTGATGTACCCGTTTGTTCTATCTTTGTCAACGCTGTCCGTCTTTTGTTAATGTTTTGGACGATTTAGTTACGCATGCAGACCTGGGGTACAGGCCAGAGGTGTGGGGGTGAGAGGGTGCCCCAGTCAGAGTGGGGGGCACACTGACTGAAATACCCTACTGGGGGGGCAGCGGGGACACAGGAGAGTCTGCTGTGCCTGGGGCCACTCCCTGGCCGGGGATGGACTTGGCAGCGGCTGCGGCCAGTGCCCTCATGCTGCGCTGTACCCCGCTGCGCCCCCAGAGGGCCCGTCCGCCCCCACCTCACAGCGTCATTACGTAGAGGTAGTCCGGACACAGGCGCTGGCCAGGTAATCGCAGACGCGTTCTCGTGGTCTGCAGGTCACTTCTTACTAAGTAATGCCCCGAGACGCGAGTTTGCAGTTCCCATCCTGAGGAAGCCCAGTTTGTCTCTCCCCTGAGGCTGCTTGTGCTTTGGGAATCATCTCTGGAAGCCACGTCCAACCCCAGGCTACGACGCCCGTGGGAGAGAACTCGCGCTGCACAGAGCCGGCACCTGCTGGCTTCTGCTGCGGTGGCTGGGGGTGGCCCAGGGTCACCCCGGCCCCCAGCCCCCCTCAGCTGCCTCAGCGGCGCAAGTGCCTGAGTCTTCTGCCGGCAGAAGCAGCCCCTCAGCGGCGAGCCCCGCCGCCGGCCGGCGCCCGCGTGTGCCCGACGCAGCACGTGACCCGTCGCGGGCCCTGGCCAGTAGCCGTGGGTGCGGGCTGCCCCGCCCGCCCCGCTGAGGTGAAGAGCGGCTTGGAAGGCCCTTGCTCCGCCCGGGCGCTGGCCGGCCGGCCGGCCTCCTGCAGCCTGCTGCCGCCGTGCGTCTTGGCCTCCAGTTCCTCCCCGCAGCGTCTGGGCCGGGCCGTCAGGTGTCCTTCGAGGACGCAGCAGTGGCCGGTAGGGGCCCGTGACAGCAGCTCGCCCTGTGGCGTGGGGTGACCGGCACCGACACCCCGGAAGAGCGAGCCGCAGGTCCACGTGACCCCCAGCGGCGGCCTCGGGCTGTGGCCGTGTGAGGGAGCAGCCTGGGGCGGCTCCTCGCTGGGCTCCGCCGCGTCTGCTCAGGTAAGTGGGGGTGCAGTAACACGGCCAGGGTTGTCAGGGCTGCCTCTTCCTGCAGAGGCTCCCCTAACCCTACGCCCCACTTGGCCTGTGGACTTGAGAACAGGACAGGGGCGGCGGGGAGCCGGCCGGGCGGCCTTTCCAGCCTGCTGTTCAGTTCTTTGGGAACTTTTTCCTTTACAGGTTTACTTAGTTGTGCGTGCAGAACTGGGGTGCAGGCCAGAGGTGGGGGGCGAGGGGGTTCCCCAGAGGCAGCGTGGGGAGCAGAACAGGCGGACTGCGAAGCCCACTGCTGAGGGGCCGCGGGGCACACGGGGTCTGCCGTGCTGGGCGGTGCTGGCGCCGCCGGCCCGGCCTTGGGCTCCCTCAGCAGCGCCTTGCACCGCTCCCGTCCACGTGCGCATCTTAGACGCGCGCCCGTGTAAACGACCCTGCTTGCGGTCCCGCCCTCGCGCTGCAGGAAGGCCGGGTTTGAGCGCCGCCTGAGCAGCCCGCCCCTGTCCTGCCCGGGCACCGTGGTGCTGCCTCTTCGCACTGGGCTGTGCGGGGTTTGCCCCCGGGCGGCCTCGTGAGCCGGTCCTGAGCCGGCAAGGGGTGCCTGGCAGGGGCCCAGCGGCGCCCCGCGCTGTGGGAGTCCCCATGTCCGGGCACAGTGGCCGGCGGGCTGCGGCGATTCCACCCAGGCCTGTCAGGTCTGGGTCGCCGGTGCGAGTGCGCCCTGCGTTTCAGGACGCCCCTTCCTGCCTCCTGCCAGGTGGGGGGCGCTTTTCCCGTGGGAACCTGGTGAGCTCCTGGCAGCAAACCCCACAGCTGTGTGGCTCGGTCCCGATTCTTGCTACTGTTCTCTAGCTGTTGCTTTATTCTTCCATTTTTTAAATGGATTTTATTTACTTTTGTGTAAAATAACTGGGGTACAGGCCAGAGTTGCTGGGGGTGAGTGGATTCTCTGGAGACGGGGGGGGGGGCAGAACAGGCGGACTGACCGCAATGCCCTGCTGAGCGGCAGTGGGGAGGCAGGAGGGGTCTGCTGGCCCCAGGGGGTCACTCCCTGGCCGGGATGGACGCGTGCTGCAGGGTGCGGGTACCTTCACAGCGCTGAGACTGTGCCCCGCACCCCCAGGGAGGCTCTTTATTGTTGTCTCCTGTCTTATTATGACTAATTTCCCATTCTCTCAGCAAACCCATTGCACTTAAAGACACTGACGGACGCGTGCGCGCTGCACCGCGGGAGCCTCCGCCACTAGTCGCCAAGGCCACTTCCTGTGCGAACCCCACACTTGATGGGGACACAGGAGCCCCCAGGCTGCCGCCTTCTGCCTCTTAGGGGGCTGCTCCTGCTTCCCTGAGGTGAGCTCCGGTCACTTGTTCCTTCATGTGGGCCTGCACTTTGACCTAGATTTTTCCTCTTTCTGAAGAACTTCTTTCAACACTTTGTTGCGAGGCCGGCAGACCGTTGCTTTCCTCCAGGTGTCGAGTCCCTCACTCTCCTGCTGAACAGTTTCTGGTGCGGAGCGAGTGCGCCCTGCCCCACTGTCGTCGGGCTGTGCCCTGCGACTGGCGTGATCTGTGTCTGACCTTGCGCGGTCTGAGTCTCAGGCTGGGTCCGGCAGAGCGTCTTCGGTGCTGACACTCCGTGGTGAACTCACTGGTTTGCTGTGGACGGGGCCGGGGGCCGGGGCGCCTCGGTCTTCGTCACCGCGCGTCTCTGCCATCCCCACCGCACGCTTCCCGTCCGGGGCTGCCTGAGCATCGGCTCTTCTGCCCCGTCACCCTTTCTTCGAACCCGTCAGTCATTTCTTGGCTGTGGCTAATGTGCTGATGAGCCACTGAAGGTCCTTTTGTTAGTGTTCTTTGCTTGAATTGCACTCCAGCGACCAATGTTGACGCTTGGGTTCTCATTTCTCTCTGCTGTGTACCTGCCCCCACCGGCCGGCCTGGGAGCCCTGGTCCGATGACGGGAAGTCCTGCCAGCTCTCGCGACCCGCTGCTCGCCGTCTGTCCGGGGACAGCGTGTCCTTCTAAGCTGCTTGTCGTTCGCTGAAATCCGTACACGGCTGCGCGGGATGAAAGTCTCCGGCGCGGGCCGTTTACCGGCGAGCGGCCGGGCCGTTTGGTGTGCTGTAGCCAGAGGCGTCCGCGCCCAAATTCCCCGTCCGTGTCTGTCTCGCCGCTACCTGTTTTATCCTGGGGGCTCCATGCACAAGGACGGAGAGGTGCGGTTCCGTCCAGTCCGGCCCCCAGAGTGACACTCGGTGGCTGCGAGTGTCCCGCCAGAACCTTCCCGAGTGGCTGCCGTCTCCGCGGGGCCCTTGGATCACTCGGAGTTAACAGCTGTCCGCACTGAGCTCCACTGCTCACAGCCACGGGTCTGTCTCCACCTGGAACTCTGCCGGCCCGCCCACGTGGGCACAGGACACTGGGCTTACGTGCTGGCCGCTGAGCGTGCCTTCCTGCGCTGTCACGCTCGGCCTGGCCTAGGCGCAGGCGGATCCTCAAGCTTCCTCTGAGCTCGCTGGGTGGGTCCAGCGCTGTCCCGGCCTGCAGCTCCCGTAGCCCGCACCCTCCGAGGGCCCTGCCCAGATCCTGCGAGCCAGTGGCCATGGGAACAAAACACTCCTGTCCCGTGTGCCCTGGGCGGCCCCACCTGTGCCTTCCCTGGGTTCTGGACTGGCCTTAGGTGTCGCGCTCCTACAGGCACGGGGCTCAGGGAGGCTCCTGGGACCCAGCTGCGGGCAGCTCTGCTCCCCGAGGCCTCTCCTGGGGAACGCCTGGCCCGTGGCTCCTGCCCGGGCCTCCTGGGGCAGTTCCTGCCCTGCCATCCTGGGCAGCACCGCCGCATCCCGGCTCCCTGTTCGCGGAGCCTCACTACGCCGCCCCGAGCGAGTGTGCGCAGGCGCATCTCAGAACAGGTGGAACTGGGCCTGTGGCGGAGCTGGACATGCCGCCCTGTCCACCACCGGCCATGGCCCCCAGCGGGCCCCCGGCTTCAGTGGCCACGCCCTTGGCGGGCAGAGGCGCCTGCGAGGACCAGCACTCCCAGGCCCACGAGGAAAGGAGTCGAGCACCCACGGACTAGCCCCGTCTCTGCAGCCTCCACGGCCCTGGCAAGATGCAGACGGCCAGCTGAGCCCACCAGCACGGCCCTGGTGACCGTGGTTCTGGCCAGGGGTTGGGCGCTGGCTGGGCGCATCATCCTGGGCCTCCCCTGCTGCGCCGAAGCCGTCGCTGACCCCAGCTGGTGAAGGTAGGTCCTGCGCACTTCCAGCTTGGGCGGGTGCCACCCCCACACGGAGCTTTCCGGGCAGGGTCGGGCCTAGAAGCCGGCCTTGCCGGTGAGGGGATATGACCCTTAAGCTGGCGCAGAAGCTGGGTGCGCGCCCTGCTACTCCCCATATTGTGGTCCTGAGGAGCGAAGGCCTGCGGGGCCGAGGCCCCGACTATCAGTGTGGGGGACACTGGTGCCTGCAGACAGCCCCAGTGCCAGTGGGCAGAGGCGCCGCGGTCATCCGCAGTTCTGGCCACAATGGGGCGTGGGCAAAGTCCCCAGAAAGCAAGCTGCCCACAGGCCAAGGTGCCCCCCCTCCCAGGCGGGGTGACAGACCTGGGCAAGCACAGATGCGCCTGCTCCCGAGGAGCTCGGGGCCCTCCGGGAAGGTCGCTGCGCCCCCACCCTGCGCGTCCACTTTGGGCCTGCTGGTAAGGTGAAGGCAGAGTTCGGACAAGGGCATCGAGGACTCGAGACCCCCAGAACTCTTGCTTGGGGGTGGGGGGACTCCTCTCCTGTTGGGCACCTCCCCTGGCCATGGCAAGCCGCACC